AATAAAACCACCCCATGGAATCTGTGACTGCATCAGGATGGTACTGATGCTAGGAATTCCAGCCCTGTCCAGGACGACAGTGTCCGGGAACATGTCTTGCCACTACGATGCCAGACATTTGTGTATCTTCTTCTTCACTTCCTCTTTTACCGCTGTGGGTGTCGAGGGAGATATAAGGTTCTGTTTTTAGCTCTTCTGGCCGCCTCGACCATAGGCACATCGTGCTGTTGTAGAGTTTCTCTGATCTTATCCTACCATCAGCTCTACGTCCTTCTTCTCTTGCCATATATGCTTTGTACGGTATAGTGTCACAAGGCATTCTCTCTAAGTGGGCAAACCATTTCACATGCTGTCTTTGTATATAATTTAGAATTGGTTCTGTGCCGACTTTTTCTCTTATGATCTCATTCCTGATCTTATCTCTTATGGTAACTCCTACAGCCCTTCTCAGACATCTCATTTCCATGCTTACTAATTTTCTTTTATGGTTTGTTGTGAGTGACCATGTCTGGCACTGGTAGCACAGAGTTGGGATAAATATGCTTTGAATAAGATGTCTCTTTGTGCTGATTGGGATTGTCTCATGCTGTAAGAAGGGGGCTAGCTGTCCCAATACTTGGTTTGCTTTACTGCATCTAATGTTAATTTCTTTATGCAATTTCCCATATTCGGTAAATGTAGTTCCCAAATATGTAGTTCCCAGATATTTAAACTCAGATACCTGTTTAATGCCTTTGCACTCTTGACATTTGTGTATAACCTGCCAAATGTGCAGCTGGCTTTACAGATCCTGGTGCTCACTTTATCTTCGACGGTGACGTTCTGAGACAACGTACTACCGAGGTTTGATTTGATTTGATTTGATTCAAGAACCGACATCACAGCACTCGGGGCATTCCCATAAGCGCTCCGTTCCCATCTTCAGCAGCCAGCGAAGAGTTCCGATACTAATGGTGCCAGTAGCTTTCTGATTAAACGTCCGTCTTGCCTTTCCTCTGAGCCTCGAGCTTCTGCCAGAACCTCTCGTCACCCCCAACTGCATCAATCTCACCAAACTGTGGTGATCCATCTGCTCCTCGAAATTGTACACGCTCTCCCACAAGGCACTAACCACGTCTGCCCTAACATGTAGCAGTATTCCACCAAGTTGTGCAGAGCCAGCCAGTCAGTCCACCTGTTTATTTCCCAACACACCGGCGTGACCTGGTGAAAAAATCTAGACAATACCCCTCACTCGTGTCCTCCGCAGCGAAGCATACCTGTTCTGATCTTCCTCAGCATGCTTTCTGAATCAGTTACAATCACGATGTGTGTGTGTACCGAGGTATGTGAATCTACCCACAACCTCTAACTTCTAGCCATTTACCTAAATGGTTAGTTCAGTATACACTTTGCCTTGTGCCATTTAGTACATAATTTCAGCTTTCGCAGTGTTAATGATAAGCCCAAAATTGGTACAGGCCTGGGAAAATCTGTCAGTGTTATACTGCAAATCTGCTTCTGTACAGGCATTAAGAGCACAGTCGTCAGCAAACAGAAGATCTCTAATAATACGTGATTTAATTTTGGTTTTCGCTTTGAGCCGCCTAAGATTTATAAGTTTTTTTTATCGATGCGATAGCAAATATCACTACCATTATCTCGATCTCGAAAAGTGTCAAACAGTACAGTTATGAAAATGATACTGAGTAGAGTTGGTGCTTAGAACATATTTTGTTTGACACCATTTGTAGCATGGAAACGTAAGAAAACTCTCAATTTTCCTGGATTCTGGCCTGCATTCGATCATGCAGTTGCCATATAATCATGATAAATTTCCTTTGGCAGCAATATTTTGCCATGATCTTCTGCAGACCCTCTCTGTTGAATGACTCGGAACGCCAAATATACAGGAAAAAAGTGACTAACACGATTAATTGGATTAAAGTGAGGAAGAGTTGCACAATTTCGTCGACCTCACTCTCTCGCCTGTATCCATCTGAATCCAGTGGCAGGGCAAGTCGAGATGGTTGAAGATAAAGTCAGGTGCAGTGGTTGACCAGGGTGTTCTACGTGTCTCACCGTGCTCTTTGCGCTCTAGAGTGCGTTGCTGGTACCTGCCATCAGGTCCGTTGAACCAAGTATTGGCTTCCTCAGTACATTTAGCCGAGTCCAGTCTTTGCTTGTTAGGATAGGCAGATCCTAACTCACCGAAGGCTAACAGACCATTCGGTCACCCTCACCTGGTTTAGCCCGCCTGTATAACCGTTGCCCGCAGGGTGTCCGCTGGGTGGAGCCACATGTAAGAGCTGGATGCCAAGGTTGGGCCAAAGCCAAGTAGGCTGTCCTGAAAAGGACTTGACAAGCTGCCAACACCAAAGGTATTTCCAATTCCTGGCAACCTCCCGAAAGTACACGAGACAGGTTGTGGATAGACATTGACTTTGAAAGATTATCTGTTTCGGAATGTATCAAAAGTATACGAGACAGAAGGTTGTTGACAGGCGGCATGACTAAAACGTCACTCGACGTGGACTATGAGAAACAGAATGTGTAGCTGACACGTTAAATCGGTCGTTTGTGATTGTGAAGCTAACAGTTCCTACATCTCATTCATTAACAACTTGTGTGAAAAACAGTGCGATAAACAGTGGTGTCAAACAGTTCAGCTGATAGTGCCAATTATGACAGATAAAAACCATCCCCAATTGCAGATGCGAGGTAACGTAATGGCTTGAATGCTTGCTTGTCGACCAGATGCTTATGTTCGAATCCAGATCGAAACTGTGATTAATTTATTTTTCCAAGTATATTATTAAGTTTTAATAAAACATTAAAGAAAATAATATAAGCTTTTGAATTGAAATGCTACAAAAAATTTCTTAGAATATCTGGGACCGAGAAGAACAAAAATACGGACATCCTGCATGCTCTGAATATCAAGGAGAATTGGCCTATACACAGCATCCTGTTCCGAAAGATAGGATATTTTGGCCATGTAACTTGGAGAGAACGTTGATGGGGGTTACTGTTTCTGGAAAACGAGGCAGACCTTCGTGAATGTGGATACAAGACATTACAAATACAAAGCACGTCACCATTGTAGGGACTCTTATGAATATACTGACCGGGATACGCAGTAATGGAAGATCGGATTTTCTGGCAAGAAAAGCGACAGATAGGGGACCACTCGTATATGACACACACACACAAAGTAAAGATCCCTTTTCGCGCCTTAGGCGCATCGGGGATATGGGAAGAGCCTTCCACATTTTTACAGAGCGATCGGCACTGGATGTGTGATTTGGTCAGCATTACGCCGGCCGTCTTTACTTCCCCAGGACAGCCATCATGGCACCCATTTTAGGCTGGGTCAACCTGCGACGCTTCGTACCATGATAAAAATCCACGCAGCCAGCAGTGGGTTTCGATCGCAGTACCTTGAATTACGAGTCGGACTCACAACGCCTAAGCCACAGACGCTCGTACATTACAAAGGAGACATTCTAAAGACTATTTATGAATAAATGCTGATAGAAGTCCCATGGTTAGGTTAAATGACATGTGTAAGAATGTCTAAACGAGGAATAAGGTGTCGATCAAGACAAGAAAGACGTATGAGAGTAAGGGGACAACGTTTGTGCAATCAATGTGCTACGGGAACAGTCAGCATCTACAACTTAAGGCATTTGCTGAGGAAGACGGAGCATCTACGGATGCACACGGTGTGCTGTATGTGGTGTCTGCTTTTTTATCAGTAATCAGTTGCCGCGTGAAATATTCTTAATGATTTTCTTTTGTCTGTTTACGAAGATAACTTCACATAAAACCCCTCTAAGGGGTATTCGTACAAATGTGACCAGAACTGTTAAAAATCCTATTCAACACATCCGGGTTATAATTTGGATATAACGTTTTTTTTCCCCCCCGCTTATGTGTAGTCCACCTTATCTCCAGTCCTTTTGTGTATAGTTCTGTCAATCTCTAGTCCTCTTTCCATTAGTCTTCTCATTTTCATCCCTCTATGTCTAGTTCTCTCATGTCTAGTCCTCTCATGTCTAGTACATTTATGTCTAGTCCTCTCCTGACTAGTCTATCGTGTTTAGTACCCTTATCTATAGTCCCTTTATGTCTAGTCTATCGTGTTTAGTCACTTTATCTATAGTCCCTTTATGTCTAGTCTCTCATGTTTAGTCCCCTTATCTATAGTCCCCTTATGTATAGTCTATCCTGTTTAGTCACTTTATCTATAGTCCGTTTATGTCTAGTCTATCGTGTTTAGTCACTTTGTCTCTAGTCTCTTTATGTCTAGTCTTTTCATGTCTAGTCCCTTTATGTCTTGCCTATCATGCTTAGTCACTTTATCTCTAGTCCTTTCATGTCTAGTCATGTTATGTCTAGTCTCTTTATGTCTAATCCTCAATGTCTAGTATCTTTATGTCTAATCCCTCCATGTCTAGCCCCTTTATGTCTAATCCCTCCATGTCTAGCCCCTTTATGCCTAGTACTTTCATGTTTAGTTCCTTTATTCTAGTCATCTTATGTCTAGCACTCTTAGCTCTGTTTTGTACCTTTGCATCCATCACGCTAATAAATTAATACACATCAGTTTATTAACCACGCTATAATCATCCTCATGTATGGGTGCCATAGTAGTGAAGTCGCTAGACCTACATGCATAGCTTGAATATGCAAAGTTTTTTTTTTTTTTTAAATTAACCTTGTCTCACGAGGCAACCCTTCTTAAAATGGAAACCTGGCAATGATTTAATTTAAAATAAAGGCGGTCGGCGTTATGTTAAACCACGGCCTTCTCTATTTTTATTAATATACAGCCTGACGTGGTTAAACACATAACACTGACTGCTGATTGGTCTATAAAATATACGAGTCTACTAGCGTCACTTTCCCGTTACCTGAGTGGAATGAAATGGTTTCATGACTTTATTTCAGTCCTCGTTAGGTTTTGAGAAATGTCCTGTCACAAAATTGGCTTTAATTGTTTCGAATCTAACCAGCAGGAAAGGAAGGCGGCAACCAGGTGGCACTAAATGTCGAAACACAGCAAACTTTACAAGAAACAGGAACCAGACTTCAAGAATATATAATCTTACGAAGTCCCCCTTCCTTAGATCCAGGAAATCAACATATTTTCCAGACTCATCGAAACCAGCAGAAAGGTAAAGGACTTCTGCTTTCTCCTCATCATCCTTTTCTTCTTCTTCTTCTTCTTCTTCTTCTTATCTTTTTCTTCATCCTCCACCGCCTTCTTCCTTCACTACTACTCCTGCTGCTGCTGCTACTACTACCACTACGCATTCTACTGCTACTGCTGCTACTTATACTACTGCTGCTGCTAACACTACAACTACTGCAGTTGCTGCTGCTGTAGCATTCTGTCATGCATTCCCCCTGAATGAATGAATGAATGAACAAATGAATGAATGAATAAATGAATGAATGAATGAATGAATGAATGAATGAATGAATGAATGAATGAATGAATGAATGAATGAATCACGACATTTAGGGCATTCCCACATGTTCTCTGACTCCTTCCTCAATAGCCAAAGATTGCTGACACTGACTGTGCCAGTTGCAGCCTAATTAAAGGTCCTCCTATTCTTTTCACCTGTGCTTCAAGAACCGTTGAGATCTTGCCCCTTCTTCTTGTTCTGCCTTTCTATCTCCCCATCTTTCTAGCTTCATTCTTCAGCTCTCTTCCACGTGTGTGTGTGTGTGTTTTTTTTTTTTTTTTTTTTTTTTTTGCCTTCCTTTATTCATAGGCACCTGTTGGTTCCAATGCAAAGACATTCTAGTTATGCTGTTCTCCTGTTTTCTCAATGTGTGCCCTACACAACGCCAGCGTCTTTTCCTCACCTATTGGTCCACTGGAGCCTGTTTAGTTCTCTCCCAAAGCTCTAAATTAGTTATTCTATCATACCATTTAATTCCCTCAATACTGCGCAGGCACCAGTTAATGAAAGTCTGTAATTTATTAGTAATTGCCTTCGTTGCTCTCCATGCTTCAGCCTCATACAAAAGTACTGATTTGACATTAGAATTAAAAATTTCATTTAGTATTTCTTTTAATTTCTTCTGACCTCCACAAATTCCCTAGTGCTATGAAAGCTCCTCATGCCTTTTGTATTCTTATTTTGAAACCTCTATCAGTTCCTCCATCTATATCTACATTACTGCCTAAATAGGTCAACGACTCCTTATCTTGGAGTGGGGTGCCATTAAGAGAAACCATACTACTATTTGCACGATTTATTCTTATTATCTTGTCTTTCCTTTATGGATTTTCAAACCTAGCTGCTGTGATCTTGCATCAAGTATATTTAATTTATGATCTTGCACCTGCTCAACACTAAATCAGTCTTGGAGGTGTGGATTCTCCCTCTCGTGACACTGTCTACCTTTTCCCAGTGAGCCTTCCTCGTGTCCACTTCATCAGACACTAGCTCCCACTGGAGCAGCTAATCTATCAGCCTACTGGGTAGCCACGTTAGCGCAGTCGATAGGAAGCTCACTTTCAAATCCAGCTGCGACTTGCTGCAGCCACGGTCTGTGTTCGAAACCGGGCAGTTCCCGGGGTTCACCCGACCTTTAGCAACTCTGGGTAATGGGTACCAGAGTTGACACTCTGGGCTGAATGAAGTTACGTGCGGACGACGACACAGGCGGACAGTTTCTTATCAGCTGCCCGTATTGGTGGCAGAGCACTTATGGTTTATAACCGTGTTCAATGACGCTGGTTCAAATCTCCCGACTTTACCTTTACCTTTTTTTTTTAATCAGCCTACTCATTACCGCGCAAACGAGAAAATACAGAGAAGAAAATACACGATGTGCTCCCGCTCTGAGACTTATTAGGTGTGCATGTCATTCTACTCATTGTACCCCGACGTTTTTTGTTTGAAGTCTATATAAGAGATAAAACCAACGAAAAGTATATCAGCAAACTTCACAACAAAACAAACACAAACAAAACGTGAACTGCTCCGTGTACCTCAATACCTGTATCATTGCATCATAGAGGGTGTCCTTAGGGACTCTGCCATCCTCCATTCTTCAGGTGTGGCCTAGCAGCCTAAGCAGACATCATGTCTGGCTGTGCTACTCTCCATCTCTCGGAAAGTCACTGTTACTGCCTTCTGTTCCATTCACGCTTGATGTGATGTTATAGCGAGACTCTCCTTTTTAAACAATGTCCCTCATGTCACTCCGGACAAGTCTATGGAAGCTCAGATTCCTTCAGTCATCATGTATATCTTCTTCTTCTTTCACGAAGACTTCACCGACTTACATTTTTTTTTTAAGATGGGAGGGCGGGAGAAAAAAAAAGGGGGGGGGTGGTGTCGTTGGGGTATGCTATACATTCAGATGGAGGGGCCAAAGGAGTTGAAACCACTGGTCTACATTATAAAATATGTGTCAAATTTCACACTTGAAAGTTAGATTTCACCAAGGCAGGTGGTGTTATCATTTGTTGATAATTTTGTGTTATCTTTGACTTTCCCCTTACACATTTGGAGACCTAATTTGTTGTAATTTCCCGTCACGGTAGTAAACATATAGGACTCTATTTACGCTGTTGCCGCATGGGGCGTGTAATTGTTGTTGCTGTTAGCTGGGTGGAGGAAGAAAATGAAGCCCCAAAGAACAAATGACTTCCCTTCAAGTTAGTAAAAATAAAAGACTCCTTTCACACATTTGCCGCATCGGGCATATAAATGTTGTTGTCGTTGTTGTTGTTCGCTGGATAGAGGAAGAAAACTTGGTCAAGTTCAATAGATGCAATGGTTTGTTGTGAGAGGAGTTGTGGCGTACTGCGCTTGTGTGTGATGTCGTTAATCCGAACATGTCTGGCTTCTCCCTTCTGATCCTATGTTTCGTATAAGGGTTCTGCTTTTCGTGTCCATTTTCCTGTTTTCTGGATGTGGTTGTAATATGTGTAATTGTGTTATTTGTAAGTGTATTATGTGTAATTGTATTATTTGTAATTGTGTTATTGTATTATGTGTAATTGTATTATGTGTAATTGTATTATGTGTTATTGTATTATGTGTAATTGTATTATGTGTAATTGTGTTATGTGTTATTGTATTATGTGTAATTGTATTATGTGTTATTGTATTATGTGTAATTGTGTTATGTGTTATTGTATTATGTGTAATTGTATTATGTGTAATTGTATTATGTGTAATTGTGTTATGTGTAATTGTGTTATGTGTAATTGTGTTATGTGTAATTGTATTATGTGTTATTGTATTATGTGTAATTGTGTTATGTGTAATTGTATTATGTGTAATTGTGTTATGTGTAATTGTGTTATGTGTAATTGTGTTATGTGTAATTGTGTTATGTGTAATTGTATTATGTGTAATTGTATTATGTGTAATTGTATTATGTGTAATTGTATTATGTGTAATTGTATTATGTGTAATTGTGTTATGTGTAATTGTATTATGTGTAATTGTGTTATGTGTTATTGTATTATGTGTAATTGTATTATGTGTAATTGTATTATGTGTAATTGTATTATGTGTAATTGTATTATGTGTTATTGTATTATGTGTAATTGTATTATGTGTAATTGTGTTATGTGTAATTGTATTATGTGTAATTGTATTATGTGTTATTGTATTATGTGTTATTGTATTATGTGTAATTGTATTATGTGTAATTGTATTATGTGTAATTGTATTATGTGTAATTGTGTTATGTGTTATTGTATTATGTGTAATTGTGTTATGTGTAATTGTATTATGTGTAATTGTGTTATGTGTTATTGTATTATGTGTAATTGTATTATGTGTAATTGTGTTATGTGTAATTGTATTATGTGTTATTGTGTTATGTGTAATTGTATTATGTGTAATTGTATTATGTGTTATTGTATTATGTGTAATTGTATTATGTGTAATTGTATTATGTGTAATTGTGTTATGTGTAATTGTATTATGTGTAATTGTGTTATGTGTTATTGTGTTATGTGTAATTGTATTATGTGTAATTGTGTTATGTGTAATTGTATTATGTGTAATTGTGTTATGTGTAATTGTGTTATGTGTTATTGTATTATGTGTAATTGTGTTATGTGTAATTGTATTATGTGTAATTGTATTATGTGTAATTGTATTATGTGTAATTTTATTATGTGTAATTGTATTATGTGTAATTGTGTTATGTGTAATTGTATTATGTGTAATTGTATTATGTGTTATTGTATTATGTGTAATTGTATTATGTGTAATTGTATTATGTGTAATTGTGTTATGTGTAATTGTATTATGTGTAATTGTGTTATGTGTTATTGTGTTATGTGTAATTGTATTATGTGTAATTGTGTTATGTGTTATTGTGTTATGTGTAATTGTGTTATGTGTAATTGTGTTATGTGTAATTGTATTATGTGTAATTGTATTATGTGTAATTGTATTATGTGTAATTGTGTTATGTGTAATTGTATTATGTGTAATTGTATTATGTGTAATTGTGTTTATGTGTAATTGTATTATGTGTAATTGTTTTTATGTGTAATTGTATTTTGTGTAATTGTATTATGTGTAATTGTATTATGTGTAATTGTGTTATGTGTAATTGTGTTATGTTTAATTTTGTTATGTGTAATTGTATTATGTGTTTTTTTTTTTTTTGTTTAATTGTGTTATGTGTTTTTGTATTATTTGTAATTGTGTTTTTGTGTAATTGTATTATGTGTAATTTTGTTATGTGTTTTTGTGTTATTTGTTTTAATTGTATTATGTGTAATTCTGTTATGTGTAATTGTGTTTTTGTGTTTTTTGTTTTTATGTGTAATTGTGTTATGTGTAATTGTTTATGTGTAATTTATTTGTTATGTGTTTTTGTGTTATGTGTAATTGTATTATGTGTAATTGTATTATTTGTTTTTGTATTTTGTGTTTTGTATTATGTGTTTTGTATTATGTGTTTTTGTTTTATGTGTAATTGTATTATGTGTAATTGTGTTATGTGTAATTGTATTATGTGTTATTGTATTATGTGTTTTTGTATAATGTGTTATTGTTTTTTGTGTAATTGTATTTTTTTTTTATTGTATTATGTGTATTTGTTTTTTTGTGTATTTTTTTGTTATGTGTAATTGTATTATTTTTTTATTGTATTATGTGTAATTGTTTTATGTGTTTTTGTGTTATGTGTTTGTATTATGTGTTTTTGTATTATGTGTTTTTGTTTTATGTGTTATTGTATTATGTGTAATTGTATTATGTGTTATTGTATTATGTGTTTTGTTTTATGTGTTATTGTATTATGTGTATTTGTTTTATGTGTTTTTGTATTATGTGTAATTGTATTATGTTTTTTTGTGTTATTTGTTTTATTGTATTATGTGTTTTTGTATTATTGTAATTGTATTATGTGTAATTGTTTTATGTGTAATTGTTTTTATGTGTAATTGTTTTATGTGTAATTGTTTTATGTGTTATTGTATTATGTTTTTTTGTATTATGTGTTATTGTTTTATGTGTTTTATTGTATTTTTTGTTTTTGTATTATTTGTTTTTTTGTTTTTTGTTTTTGTTTTTGTGTTATTGTATTATGTTTTTTTTGTATTATGTGTTTTGTATTTTTTTTTTTTGTGTGTTTTTTTTTTTGTTTTATGTTTTTATTTTGTATTTTTTGTAATTGTATTATGTTTAATTTTGTTATGTGTTTTTTGTGTTTTGTGTAATTGTATTTTGTGTAATTTTTATTTTTTTTTTTTTGTTTTTTTGTGTAATTGTATTATGTGTTATTGTGTTATGTTTTTTTTGTAGTATGTGTTTTTGTTTTTATGTGTAATTGTATTATGTGTAATTGTATTATGTGTTTTTGTATTATGTGTAATTGTTTTATGTGTTTTTTGTTTTATGTGTAATTGTATTATGTTTTTTTTGTATTATGTGTAATTGTATTATTTTGTTATTGTTTTTTGTGTAATTTTTTTATGTGTTTTTGTATTATGTGTAATTGTATTATGTGTAATTGTGTTATGTGTTATTGTATTATGTGTTATTGTATTATGTGTTATTGTATTATGTGTAATTGTATTATGTGTAATTGTGTTATGTGTTATTGTATTATGTGTTATTGTATTATGTGTAATTGTATTATGTGTAATTCTGTTATGTGTAATTGTGTTATGTGTAATTGTGTTATGTGTAATTGTATTATGTGTAATTCTGTTATGTGTAATTGTGTTATGTGTAATTGTATTATGTGTAATTGTGTTATGTGTAATTGTGTTATGTGTAATTGTATTATGTGTTATTGTATTATGTGTAATTGTATTATGTGTAATTGTATTATGTGTAATTGTATTATGTGTAATTGTGTTATGTGTAATTGTATTATGTGTAATTGTATTATGTGTAATTGTGTTATGTGTAATTGTGTTATGTGTAATTGTGTTATGTGTAATTGTATTATGTGTAATTGTATTATGTGTAATTGTATTATGTGTAATTGTATTATGTGTAATTGTTGTGTTATGTGTGATTGTATTATGTGTAATTGTGTTATGTGTAATTGTGTTATGTGTAATTGTATTATGTGTAATTGTATTATGTGTAATTGTATTATGTGTAATTGTATTATGTGTAATTGTATTATGTGTAATTGTGTTATGTGTAATTGTATTATGTGTTATTGTATTATGTGTAATTGTATTATGTGTAATTGTGTTATGTGTTATTGTATTATGTGTAATTGTGTTATGTGTTATTGTATTATGTGTAATTGTGTTATGTGTAATTGTATTATGTGTAATTGTGTTATGTGTTATTGTATTATGTGTAATTGTGTTATGTGTTATTGTATTATGTGTAATTGTGTTATGTGTAATTGTATTATGTGTAATTGTGTTATGTGTAATTGTGTTATGTGTAATTGTGTTATGTGTTATTGTATTATGTGTAATTATGTTATGTGTTATTGTATTATGTGTAATTGTGTTATGTGTAATTGTATTATGTGTAATTGTGTTATGTGTAATTGTGTTATGTGTAATTGTGTTATGTGTTTTTGTATTATGTGTAATTGTGTTATGTGTAATTGTATTATGTGTAATTGTATTATGTGTAATTGTGTTATGTGTAATTGTGTTATGTGTTATTGTATTATGTGTAATTGTGTTATGTGTAATTGTGTTATGTGTAATTGTGTTATGTGTAATTGTATTATGTGTAATTGTGTTATGTGTAATTGTATTATGTGTAATTGTATTATGTGTTATTGTATTATGTGTAATTGTGTTATGTGTAATTGTATTATGTGTAATTGTATTATGTGTAATTGTGTTATGTGTAATTGTATTATGTGTAATTGTATTATGTGTAATTGTGTTATGTGTAATTGTGTTATGTGTTATTGTATTATGTGTAATTGTGTTATGTGTTATTGTATTATGTGTAATTGTGTTATGTGTAATTCTGTTATGCGTAATTGGGTTATATGTAATTGTGTAACTGTGTTATGCATAGCTGTGTTATGCGTAATTGCGTTAAATTTAGTTTTGTAATATGTAAGTATGTTATGCGTAATTGTGATATATGTTCTTGTGTTATATGTAGTTGTGTTATGTGTAATCGTGTTATGCGTAATTGTGTTATGCGTAGTTGTGCTATGTGTAATTGTGTACTGTATTGTGTACTGTCTTATGTCCTTAAGACCTTGTCCTCGTGTTTGTCCTTGTTTGGTGTCCGTTTTTTTTTTTTTGCTGTGGATTCCTTCTAAAGGGTCGGTCCTATTAAAGTTTGGTCGGGCAGATAGTACTATACCTGTATCATTATAGCCCAATCAGCATTCAATGGATTATGTGATCAACATCAGGATTAACACCATGTCTACGAGGGCTTAGGCTGCTAGGTCACACCTGAAGAATGGAGGATGGCAGAGTCCCTAAGGACACCCTCTATGGTGCAGTGAAGACGGACAGATGTCGAGCCGATCTCTACTACAGTATAAAGATGTGTGCTAGGGGGACATTAGTGATACAGGTATTGAGGTGGACTCGTGGGGACAAAATGTCATGGACCGTGTTGTGTGGGTGGGGCACATCAGGAAGGGGTTGAGAATGAAGAAAGAAATGATGGAAGAAAGGTTGACAGTTGAGAAGAAACTGAGTAATCACAAATATTGAAAATAATGGTCCTGATATCCCATGCTGTAATCGTGGAAGTCTTTTCTGAAAGCTGGCGGCTCTTGCTAGTCACATTCGCCATCGCCATGGACTGTGAGTCCCCTGCCATCTCATGACGAATTATAACACTATTGACTGGAAAGATGGAAAGGTTCCAATCAACAACAGCAAACAAAAAACAAACGTCATGGGACATCTGCTTTTGCAGCATAACATGGCATCAGCAATTATATTTAAACGACGCGCGAGCGCGCATACACACACACACGCGCGCGCGCGCAATTTCATTATCATCTTTTCTTTAGCTCAGTTCTGAGTTTTAGCAAGTACATTTAATTACTTGGTCACCACGATAACTGCAGATGGAAGATGTTTTTAGAAAGTTACATGAAGAATAGCTCAAACAAAGGCAACATCTACAAACTGAAGAATATACTATGCAATCTTTCTTAGTCGAATGAGATGAGAAAGAGAATCGGAAGAGCTTTACAAATCGTATCGGAATACTGTATACGGAAGTTAATCATGGACATTTAGCCGATTAGATAACATTTATGTGGGAGCGGCAGAGGTGTTGTTTTATAGATGAATTATAATATCCTGGACAGATAAAAATAGTAATGAAGATGACTTTCAAGGAATTGACCCAGGAATAAAATACCCACATCAGAAGGATACCCACTACTGTACATTCTTTGGTCGTGTCATGAAAAGGAGAAAACGGAATGACATCATGAAGTTTGGAGGGGAGAAGAGACAGAAAGAGTCCGAGGCGGAATATGCTGGACAGTTTGACATCATGACGTGGAGGATCGTCTGTGTCAGTATTGACTGAAAATACACAAATAAATGAATGAAATAATTAATTAATGATCGATACGTCCCTGCGCTCGGGACATTCCTATACGTGTTTTATCTCCTCAGTAACCAACGAAGAATCGTTAGGCTAGAGGTACCACTTGCAACATGATTAAAAGTCCGCCTACATTTTCTCTCTCAGTGTTGAATATCTTTCACACCTCCTGCTCACCTCCCCCTTTTCGCTTGCTGAATTAGTCTGTCAGTATATGGATACCCGCTGCAGTGTCTACTTGATTCCGGGGAGCCTTCGCCACGTCCGCTTTATCAGAAAGCAGCTCACCACCCAAATCAACCAGCCAATCAACCTTCTCATTACCCATTACACCCGAATAAATAGACAAAAGATCCTTGATATGTTACATGAAAGTACACGAGACAGAAAGTTGTAGATAGACATGACCACCAACGCCACACGACATAAACTATAAGACAAAAATGAGTTTCAACATCAAGTTTTGAAAAGGCATGGGGTGAGAGCCTTGGTGTGTGCTACGTACCGTAGAGACTGGTGTCCTGACCTCAGAGATTCCATCTATCATCGCTAGCATAGGCGACCTCTAGATCTCTTTCCGTTGTGTCTTAGTGACTGATCTCTCCCTCTCTCTCTCTGTGTGTGTGTGTGTGTTATGCGTGTGTGATAGTCTTGACATATGTCCGAACCATTTGGTATGTTGTCTCTGTGTCATTTAGTAATGGCTCCGTTCTAACATGTTTCCTCATATCGTCATTTCGAATTGTCTCTTCTCATTTTCATTTTGAATTCGTTGTAGCATTTCATTTCTGTTGTTTCGCTTTGTCTTACACAGACAGTATCTAATACTGTGTATTTTCTTGTAATACCCAACAGAGTCACCCCAAGATACCACGAGCCAGCTGCGCGACGTCTGCTTAAACAAGCCAGACCACAGAGGCTGTGGGACAGCAAGCAAGAGGTACTACTTCGACCAGACCACTATGGAATGTTACAAGTTTATATACGGGGGATGTCGGGAAGGCGGCAACCATTTTGAGACGTTAACAAGTTGTAATATGGCTTGTTTGGGACACGAATAAATTATGCACACTCATATGCTTATGTCATGTTTGTTTTATGCTACACAAGGCTTGGGCCTAGGGTCGGATTGAGACTTGGTGAGGCCCTTAAAAATATAAAGTCCCGAGGCCCTACCGTTTTAAATTACACCAGTTAACCTCAACTAGCTGGAAGAAATAAAAGCCTGAGATGACGATCTCAAAATAATTTTATGAAAATTTGAAAAATTTTTTGGTGTGTTTGTGTGTGGGGGGAAAAGGGTAATACATATTAAAAATAAAATTGCATTTAAAATATATTAAAAGTAAATTGTGTTTGTGAAAAAACGTTGAACATTTCTGAGGTCCCTACAGATTGTGCGGCCCTTAGCTGTAGGTTATTTACCTTATACCTAAACACGGCACTACCTAGACCCCTGGTGCACCCTTCCTCTAGAAAGTTGTTTGAATCGTCTCTCTTAAGATTAGCTCCATAAAAGCATCTAAGCCGGCAATGCTAAACGACAATCTCAACTGCAGACCAAAACTAGTAGATGCCATCAAGACAACGCAGTCTCAGCCATCAAATTGTTATTTGAGCACTAAATAACGAGTTGGTGATGTTTTTTTCATGCTGTTTGACACGTTGATTTATATGGCTGTCTTTCTCCAAGTTGAGGTGAAAAGTGTTTGTCATTATCTTTTGTGTCCTCTTTTTAATCAATTTTTTTTAAAGACGTGAGGGCCTTGCTATGTTTTAAAGTGGGCGTTAACTTAAAAAAAAAGGAGTGCGGAATACACTTGCAGATTTTGTTGCAAGGGCTAAGAAAAAATAAAACGCCTGTTCTGTGGAATTTGCTGGTCTGGTGCTGCATTGTGTTAGAAAATCATAACGTGGTTGTGAATGATATGTCTTCTGATTGTGCAGACAATACCAGTGTGAACTATGGAAAAACACATTCGGAATATATTATCAGTTGATGCGAAGTAAAAACCCATATTTACTGAAATCTCATTATCACTAATTCAGTTATACGTTGTGGGGAAGAACATATGCCATCCATTGCTTGGTGAGTAGGAAATGCTATGGTCATTTCGTGTCACGTAGAAGCTCTTTAATGTCATTAACGCATATTTTCCTAGAGCGACCTCTTGTTTTCACATCACATCTTGTTCTGTGAGGCACCTGTGCTGGTAGTTACTCTGACTGCATTAAACGACAAGACCCAACCATTTTATTTTATGTTTAAAAATGTACATTATTATTCCGATTTAGTGATTGAGTGAGTGAGTGACATTCAACCCTATCAGGATAGCACAATGAGCGATTAGTATCCGGTGACACAAAGTGCCACCATTCTGATCGAAATTATCCCAAGCGCAAGTCCCAGAAACTCGTTCAACAGTTAGGTTATATTAGGGCGCCCGACGACTACCGGGGTAGGGCTTTAAGATAATTAAAAGAAATTTGGTCCAAAACTGGAACGGATTCGCTATGGTGCTTCCGCCGGGAAATTTGGAATCAGTCGCGGAATCAGTAACCATGTGGGTGACAAGTATATTTTTGCAGTCCAGGCTCGTCCTCAGGTGCCTTGCCAGTCGTCTTAGGCGTTCATGTGTCGCCACAGATCTCGGTCTTTGGTGTTCTGGATCAATTCTAATGATGATATTCCTCCATGCAACTGTCCTAAGCCATCCACCATCATTTCTGCCTCTGCAACCAGTGATCTTTCCAGCCGTTGCGATATTTTAGTGCTTTTTTTCTCATCACATGACCAAAGAACTTTGATTATCTCCTTCTCGTTGTTGTACACAATGTTCTATTTTCATTAGCCATTTCCAGGCATTCAATGTTGGTTATTCTGGCAGTCCAAGGTTTCTCTACATTCTCTTCTGAAAAGCTGCCTTTGCCTGACCAGTTCTGCTCTTAATTTCGGTGACACATCGTCCATCTGATGTTATGAATGTTCCCAAAAGCCTGAATTTGTTGACTTGGTTTAGCACTTTCCCTTTTATTGCTATGTCACATTTGGGAGTTATCTTCTTCTTTGATACTGTATAACCATTGTTTCTATTTTCTTGATATTCAAGGAGAGTCCCCTTTTTGCACTATCTAGTAGAACAATATCTAATAGTTGTTGTAGGTCTTCTGCGTTTTCAGCTATTAATGCTGTTTCATCTATATAACGAAGATAGTTTATATTATAACCTTCAACTAGCATTCCTGGTCTGTCCTTGACCTACCTCATTATTATTTCACTGCAGAAAGAGAAGAGATCCGGTGACAAAACACATCCTTGTCTCACTCCTGGCTTTATATGTTCATAACTGCCTACTTTATTTCCTAATTAGATTTCTGCTTCTTGCTTCTAGGTAATATTTTTATTATTCTGAGATTTGTTCCAGCCATTTTAATATCCTCCAACAATTTTATTATTTCATCGTGTTTCACTTTATCCAAAAGCTTTGATATAATCTATGAAGCACAAATATATGTATTTCTGTTTCTCCATTGATCTCTCTGCTAATGTTCTCAATGTGTATATTGCATTATTTGTACCTTTCCCTTCTATAAAACCATACAGCTCTTCACTAATTTCCACTTGTATTTTCTTTCGTATTCTTCTCATGTTATTAGGTATATCTCCACTGCTGTAAATATCATTCAACAGTTTAGTTAATATGTAAACTCTAAATTAACCGAGTACTTCTATTTTCTCTATTGCAATTCCATCTGGTCCGGTTGTTTTTCCTTTCTTTATTTGTTTGACATCATCAGAGACTTCTTCTTTTAGTGTGGGATAACTTTTTATACATGACACACTAAACCATGTTTGCAAGCGGAGTTGTTGCCACGTTCTTTATTGTTTGAATTAACAACATAGTTGAACAGTCCATTTAATTTTCTAGAGTTACATGTTACCCCTAATTGCATGGTCCTTGTATTGTGAATGTTGCCTCATGTCACTTTGTCCTTCGTGTAAAACACGGGAGGGGGTGACGCGCCCTCTTGTCAAGGGCTATAATAATTTAGATTTTGTTACCAGGAGCAATAATACTATTTATTTATATGTTTTATTTTAATTTGCTATATTTCTAGTGTACTCTTAAATATCTTCAAAAACTTCTACAATTATATTTTAATGCATTATATACAATATTTAATTAGTAAAATTTTAACTAATCTTCTTAGGTTTCATAAAACATAATCTTTGCTTTATTTGCAGCATTATTTTCTTTTCAATTTTATTGATAGTATGGTTTTTTAACAAATAATTTTAATATGACACTGTGCACCTATTTTTTTTTATTCCTTACGTCCTTCTTATGACGTTATTTTTTTGTTATTTGAAGCCCCACTCTGGCTTTTGCCAGGGGCCGCAATATAGGCAGGTCATCATCAAATGTCTGAACGCGGTTTCTGGGACCTCTCCACGGTGATCCTCATCCGCATGGTGGCACTTTGTGCCATCGGGTGTTTATCGCTTGTGTGATGTCCTGGTGGGGTGGAAAGTCAGTCAGTCAGTCACTGTGCACCTATATTCCTTACGTCCCTCTTAGGACTTTATTTTTTGTTATTTGAAGCCCCACTCTGGCTATTGTCAGGGGCCGCAATATAGGCAGGTCATCATTATGGCCAAATGACTGAACGCGGTTTCTGGGACCTCTCCACGGTGATCCTCATCCGCATGGTGGCACTTTGTGTCATCGGGTGTTTATCGCTTGTGTGATGTCCTGGTGGGGTAAAAAGCCAATCCATACGCACCTTGCAGTTACAACAGTTCACTTTCACGTCGCGGGAAAAGTAGTTGCAGTTTTTTTGCGTAGCCGGACAACAGGTTGTAATAGAGTATGACAAAAAATATCTAAAAACACCGAAAACTTTTGATATCGCCATATTAACATATTTTCTGCAATAGAATAATTCAGCCAAAATTTTTTCACGATCATCATCCCGTGCCGTTAGTACAGCATACTGATATATTACCACCTGAGTGTAATTAGAGGGTCTGGCCAGCTCACAACTCAGAGGAAGGTCAAGGCGGACATCTAACCTGCTCAAAAGAGCACCTGGTGCTAACAAAGTAAGCTGATTTGAGTGGGTTTCTTGCTGAATTATACTGTAATGGTATAATTATGAAGACTGCGGTCCATGGGCAGTGTTCGAAACCAAACGGTTCACCCAGCCTATAGGAAATGGGTTAAGCAGTTATGTGATCATTACTTGGGTGAGCCCAGGACAAGAGCGAAATGTGACTGCTCAGCATTTATGTAAGCCCTTTGGACAAAAGGAAATGCCCATAATCTAACTTTGCCTTCCTTTAAGGGCCGATCATTCTACACATGATTGCCCTAAATGGGTTCTCCTGAGACAACACTTGTAGAATAAGTGATAAAGAAGACACCACACAATAAGGATAAGTCATGTCCCATGAACCTTTTTCAGGAAGGTTAACTCAGTGAACAAATGCCCCCCAAAAACTTTAGTGTCAATGGTCAGGTGGCGACCAATAAAGGTCGGCCGCAGTGGATTTCCTACTTATCTAAATTATCCTGTACAAAGCAAAAACATTTTAACCTTAAACCTATCCACACCGGACTAGTTCGTTGAATACATTTGTAAAGGGCCCTTCCCCCCACCTTCAGGCACACTGAGTTTATAGTACTTTACTTTTACTTTTTCCTTCCACGTATGCCGCTAAGCGTTGTGGGGAGATGCAAGTTCCTGTCATAAGCAAGGCGGGCAGCATCTGATGTTCTGAGGCCATGCTTTTGGCAGGTTTCGGAGACCCCGTCAATCCACAGTTTCCTTGGTCTTCCTCTTGCCTTATATCCTGAGCTTCTTTGGTTGAAAATTTGTGATGTTATTTGATCATTTTTCATCCTGGTTAGATGTCCAAACCATTTCATTCTTTGATGTTCTATGTAGTCTAAACATGGTTTAGTTTTGACAGTGTTTCTAATGTCTATATTCTTTATCCTGTCTAGTCTGGTCTTATTCGCTGCTTTTCTTAGACATTTCATTTCACAGACTTCTATTTTTCTTTCATGGGTCTTGTTGATTGTCCATGTCTGGCACTGGTAGCAGAGTGTTGGAATGAAGATGGTGTTTATCAATTGTCTTTTGGTCTTCATGGTTATATCTGGATGTTTAAGCAGAGGTGATAGTTGGTATGTGACAGCATTTGCTTTCTGTATTCTTGTTTCTATCTCTCTGTCCATTCTTCCATCCTCTGTAAATATACTGCCCAAGTATTTGAACTCTTTGGTTTGCTTGATTTTGGCACTTCCAACATTTATATTCAGTGGCCTGTGTGTTCTGCTGATCTTCATAACTTCTGTTTTTTCTGTACTGATTCTCATATTATGTTGTAAACAGCTGTTGTTGAGAGTAGTCAGATGTTCCTGTAGATCATATTCATTTTGATACAGTATGCTTTGATCATCAGCAAAAAGTAATTCGTTTATAGCATACACGTCTGGGTTTGCTTCTACAGTGATCTTATCCATGTATGTTATGAAAAGTAATGGTGACAGTACACATCCTTGCCTGACACCAGTTGTGACTTTGAACCATTCAGAAAGGCCACTAGATGTTCTTACTGCACTTTCACTTTTTTCATAGAGGGCTCTGATGTTGTCTAATAATTGACCCTGCACTCCGTAATCGTCAAGAATTCTCCACAGCACATCTCTGTCTACACGGTCGAATGCCTTCTCTTGATCTACAAAGACCACGTTCAGCTCTTTATCGTATTCGAGTGTCTTTTCACAGACTTGTCTTAGTGCAAATATGGCATCAGTGCAACCTCGCCCTTTCCTGAAACCGAATTGTGCTTTACTCAGTAGAGGTTCAACCTTTGCTCTTATCCTACCTTCTAAGATCTTTGCATACATTTTCCCCACATGACTTAGTAAAGATATTCCTCTATAAGTTCCACATTCTCTCTTGTTTCCTTTTTTCTTCCAGATAGGTACTACAACTGATCTTTGCCAATCCACTGGTACCTTTCTCTCTGCCCATGCTCTATTGAAAATTCTCTCCAGCCAGGTGATCATAGTGTCCCCTCCAGCCTGGATGACTTCTGTTGTTATTCTGTCGATACCAGCTGCTTTGTGTCTTTTACTTGTTTTGATAACTTTCTCTACTTCATCCCGCAGGATATGTGGTTCTAGATGATCTGGAGCCCTTGAATGGAATTCTGCTGTTTCATGTACTCCCGACGGGTTCAACAGTTCTTTAAAATATTCCTCCCATCTTTTTTTAATTTCTTTTTGGCTGAATAATGGTTTTCCATTTTTATCGTTTATGACTGATGTTGGATTGAAGCTTTCTTCTCTTAATCGCATCGCTTTCACACTCTTATAAAAGTCTCTTGGTGATTCTGTACATAGCTGTGTTAGGTGTTCACCATACTTTTTCCATGATTCCTCTTTGGATTTCTTTATTGTTCTCTTGGTGTCTCTTCGAGTTAGTCTGTACCTAATGTAATCCTTTTCGTCTTTTGTTTTTAACCATATTTGAAACATCTTCTTTTTATTTGACACTGCTTCTTTGACTTCTTCATTCCACCAAGCGGTACCCTTTTTCTTGCCTTTGCCCGTCTTTCTGGTACCACACTTGTCTTTTAATATCTTCGTGATGGTTGATTTATAATAATCCCATTCTTCTTCAATTCTTACTGGTTCCTTGGCAATATCTGCAAAAGCCTTTGTTATTTCTAGTTCAAATTCATGTTTGATATTCTCTTCCTCTAATTTCTTAGTGTTGATGATTTCTTCACGTTTCTGTTTATGTAGACTGTTTCTACTTGAGTTGCATATGTTCATAACTACTGGGCGATGGTCTGAATCCAGTCCCGCATTTGGGACAGCTTTTGAGTCTCTTACCGTCCTCTTCTGCCGTTGTCTGACTAGTATAAAATCAATTTGTGACGCTTGATCTAAGTTGTTCCACTTGTACCACGTTTTAACCTGACTTTGGCGATGTTGGTAGAATGTGTTGGTAATGTAGAGATCTTGTTCAGCACACAAGTTTAACAGGTGTTCTCCATTTCTATTGCAATCTGTGGTTGTGTCGCTGAATGGGCCAAGGTATCTCTCCCATGGTGATCTTCTTTTACCTACCCTACCATTAAAATCTCCCATTACTATGATGTCCTCTTTCTCTTTAACATTATTGATGGTGTCCGTAAGTCTCTCGTAAAAGTCTTCTTTTTCTTCTTCAGAATAACTATCGTTGCAAGGTGCATATATCTGAATAATCGTTGTAGTTTTACTTCCTTCTGTCAACTTGATTAAAATAATTCTTTCTGATATAAATTCTGTTCCTGTTATTAATTTTGCTGTCTCGGGATGAAGTATAAATCCGACACCATGTTTTGCCCTATCTTTAGTGGGTACTCCGCTCCATAATAAAACATAATTTTCATGTATTTCTTTTGTATTATATCCTTTCTTTCTTGTATCCGCAAGACCCATGACGTGTATATTTTTTCTTTTCATGAAATCCACTATTTGTGTTGCGCTTTGTTGGCAATACCACATATGTTCCATGTGCCTATGTAAGTCGTTTTTCTGTCTCGTCGTCCTTTAACGTTTCCAGTCCATTTTCCATTTGGGGCTGTCCGTTTATTTATCTCCTTTCTAATTTTCGTAGCAATAAAAAATCCACTGCCGGCTTGCTAGGCCAGTCGCAGTTTAAGGGAAAATCTGACCAGATGGACCCCATCCCATCTGGCGAGCCAGAGCCTCGTTCGCCTGTGGCCTCACGGCCACAGTTTCCCGGTCTGCACCACTGGGAGGAGAGGTTGACTTATGTGTACTGTGGGTCATCGGCAGGCTACTAATTTTCACTTTTCACCTCTCCTAAGAGAAGCTAGCCGACCCCAACCCTGCTGGATGCAGAGCCAGGCACAGTCCACATCTTGCAGACCCCAGTTTATAGTGCTAGATCTAAATTTTGAATACCTTTCAGCGCTTGGTAGATGATGCAGATACCATCACATCGGCCACCTTTACTTCGCAGGACTTTACCTGGTACAAGCTTAAGACAGGAAATACCTGGGAGTCAGTCTTTTTGTTTATTAACGTCTGGTTTTGTTCAGATTTGAATCTACGACCTTCAGATCCACAGGTGAGCGTCTCGCCGCTACACCACAGCGGATCTCGAAACGTTTTGTGGTGCCCCAACATAACTGCTAGATGGCTATACTACTGAAGAGGGTTTCTGGGAATTTCTACCTGATTAAATCTCATTTTATTTTAGGCTCATAAACGGGCGGACAGATTAGCTGGTTCTGAAACACTGGGTTGCAAATTTTGCATGGCAAGCTAGATAGATATGGGCAAGGCCCCTTGGGAGCCAGTCCTTAGCTCAAGATCACCCCTCAGACAAAACTGAGTGTTGTACATCCCAGTTGTTCATGTTCTTAGGACACTTGTTTCCACAGCGAGGCACATATGCCATTTGGAGGTAACAGGTCTGATTCCCGGCACAGTAACTAAAGCTTTCAATTTGTATGTTGTCTAGTGTGTCTTATCTTTCTATGAGTGCCTATCAATATTTTGTATGTGTGTTTAATAGATTTAATTTAACCCAATTCTGACGGAAAAATGAATAAACCCACTCCCTTCTAACATAACATGCCACAAAAGCCACTCAGTAGGATTTTGCAGAATATCAGATGTGCAGTGCCAAAAGGCGAATATGTTGCAGTCTAGCTGAAAACTACATGTCTTGCCAAACTCCCTTTTATAGGCAAATGCATACGCAAAAAAAAAAAAAACAAGTGCATAAATTTACCATCATAAAACTGCACTTTGTTCAGGTGCAAATCTTTTTCTTGGCATTCACTGGCTTTAATTTCTGGTTATTTGTCCACCCCTAGACTGGTCTTCACCCAGAACTTGAGTTTTGCGTGCACATCCCTTTTACAGATCTAGCTTATCTACATACAGACTGTGGGTCCTTGCCTCCCAGATAGATGCACTGTCTTTAAAGGAAAGATCCCTAATTAGTTGCCTCCTACAACATGCTTGTACATGGTGGGTGGGGAGAGGGAAAGATAAGCTGGTTATATTCTTTATTCTCCAAAATAGAATCCTGGGATGCAGACGGGGAGTTCAGGTACAAGTAATTATATTTTAAACAAACAGTAACAAAGTGACAAGTGAATCAAAGAAAAAACTCCACTAATCCATCAACATTTATTCAGGTATATGATGAGGTTAGGCAATGATCTCATAGGGGATTGGTGCCAAGAACTCCGGCTTCACTAGCTTGGTGCTCACAAAGTGGGCTTTCCTGGGCTGGGCAGGCTGAAAGATAAATCAGAATTCTACTAAAGTCACCATCAACTGACAGGTTTTGCTGTTAAGTGTTGCAGGGAGACATGTTTGCAGTCCAGCGCTGTTTGACCTTAAAAGGATGATTGGTACTCTGTGTTATGGTTTACGGCTAGGCTGAGTTATCTGCACATTTCAGCCCAACAAATCTGATTGTAGGAAACCCCAAATTTGTTGCCATATGACACACTTGTTGGGGAAGCTGTGAATCAATCCCACACTCCCTCGAAACAGTGCCATGGGACCCACATTGTTATTCTCTTTAGATACATACAATGTCTTTACTGCCTAATTTACCACTTTAATATCAAAGGGATTGTGTACATGAGGACTGAGGGTCAAATGGCTGGTGTAATCACTTCATACTGTGCTGGCCTGCATTTTTATTTGTAATCTGTAAAAACTGCACTCGTGATCCATAACCCTTACAGCGCAAGGCAAATGGTTTGACCACTGCACCAGCAGACTCTTACCAACCTAGCTGAAAATATCATTTGGGAATCTGAAGTGCCCCACAGCAAGATTGTATTCTTCAATCAATATCTTTCTTATATATGTCAAAAGGTGTCACATTTTTTCACATAACAGGTAGCTGAGGCAGGGTGTGCTCGCTTGCTTGGTATACGTTGGTGTGGTGAATTTTTATGATGTCAGTGACTCCTTCAATCCATTTTCTTCTAGGTCTTCCTCTGCCTCTTGGTGTTTCTTCTTTTAAGTGTTCACTAAGTGTAATCTCTGGCAGAAAAATAAAAGTTTGTCCACTCCTGACCCAGATTGTGAGTGCTGCATGCAAAACCCATTGTACAAATCTGGTTTATTTGTATCCACACTATTGGCTCTGACTTTCAAGGAAACCCCGAACTAGTCGCCTCATAGGACATGCTTGTAAGGGGGCAGTGGGTCTGTTGTGTGCAATCCGAAGATCCACACTATGGACAACCGATAATGAACATGAGGTATGACGAGAGACACGACGACACTTGCCAACAGAAATTTTAGACTGACAGTTGCAAGAATTGTGTTAATGGCAGAGGTTGGAACTAGGCTTAGCTGGATCCGTACTTGATGCCGCAGTTTGCGGGGAGCTTAGGCTCAGTACTCTGGCTTGGAGGTAAAAGGCGTTATTCTACTTGATGCCGCAGTTTGCGGGGAGCTTAGGCTCATTGCTCCAGATGGAGGAAAACAGTTATTCTGCCATAGTTCAATGTGGCCATATACATTTTTCATGGTCACGCACATACCCCTGTGGACAGACACCAATAAATGTGTTGTATTTTGCCTGTCAACTACGTTTTCTTCAAGTACCTTAGTTCAATTTTCGGCACAGTTTGTGGTGGAGTTTTGCCTGTTGCGTTTTTCATAATAGCTACCCCTAGAGGAACATTACTTGTCATTGGCATTGATTGCGGTACGGCAGGGACCCGGGACTGCTGACCAGATATCGCTATACAGTAAACATCGCCGTACAGGGTCTATTCTTTGTTCTCCAAAATGGAGCCATGAAACCCACATGAAGACTGGTGCTTCCATTGTGTATGCTCTCACTGCCGGTTGCCTAATGAAGATATCAGAGAACAACAAACATCATAAATCACTCACCACTCTCTTTGTGCTGACTCTGATACCCTTTTCCTTGGCGTCCCGCTTCAGGGCTTCATTCCGCTTGAGTCGCTTCAAGAAGTCAAGTCTGCAGTTGCTCTGCTTGATATGTTCGATCCTTACATTGATCTTCTTGGGGATGATACGGTTGCTGTTGATAAAAGTGGATACACCTGAATTAGCTTGTAATGGATGGCCAGCCAACACTGGAATAAAAAAACTACAATTATTCATTTGGCGAGCCCAGGACCAGAAGCCCAGAACATGTGTCGGCTCTGCATCGATGGAAGCCTCTTTGGCTGGCAGGGAATGCCTATGATCTGCCCATACCATCCTTTGAGTACCGACCAGTCTGCATGTGGTTGCCCTGAACGGGACAATAAACAAGGCTACGCTATGTCCCTCATAATTATCCAGGAAGGCTAAAACGGCAAGCAAATGCCCAATAAAGTTGGATGTGTCCAGAGAAAAGGTGCAGATACAACAGGTATGCTGTAAACAAGCACAGCGCAATAACCTCACATGGACATATGATGAAGGAGGAGGAGGAAAAAAGATAAGTAGTTTCAAACTGATTTAAGGATTACATAATATCAATGTTGTCTTTATAACCATTTATAAAATTAGGTTTCAACTCTTCTTCTTATTTATATTTGACTGTAAACTTCACTTAAATGTCCTGAATGTTCAACTATGTCTAAACTGCGGTCTTGTTCCAAGGACTTTACATTTTGTGTGCACATCCAATTTAAAGATCTGGCTTATCTGTGTGCAGACTGTGGGCTCAATTAAGCCTAGCAGTGTGAATGCCTGGTCAATGACATCCTCTGAGTGACTTTCATCCGTAACCATTATACATACACTCTGCGCACCACACACCACTTGACTCTCCTTTTTACAGGACAGGCATTCTTTCCTGCAAGTTTCTGTAGCAAATATTCTTTTAAATTTCGGGGTAGCTGGCGCCACCATCAACCCTCATTTCTAGTCTTAGGCATTGTCAGTAACTTACACAAATTAGAATGATAAACACAATTAGAATGATAGACAAGAAAGAAGCACAGACCAATCTTACCCAACTTGTTTATTGACTTCGACACCAACAGCGTGTGGGGTCACGTTAAACACACGACCAGTCTTCCCATGGTAGAACTTGTGAGGCATACCTTTCTGGATTGCACCATCACCCTAGAGAAAGCAAAGATATCTGGGTCAAGATTCCACATCACAGCATTCAAGACAAGCCCATAGCCCTGTCTTCCTCAACACCAGCCAAGAGTCTCCACACTGACTGTAACCGTTTTCTGGTTATCTACTCCACAGGAAGCAGCAGCCATGACAAATCTGCTGCTGCACACACATTACTGCATGGGGCCCACCGCGATTTCTGTGACAACCAGCCCGTGGCCATCTTTCTGAATACAGTTTACAACACACAACTCTGGCAGCATACACAATAAGCATTCCTTACAATATTCACAGCTCAGCGTCGCACCATGAACTAAACCCAGTAGCTGTCCGACAGAACTGGATTAAACTTTTACCTCATTTGTTGTCCTATTCAGTTTTTCACGGGGGGGGGGGGGGGGGGGGGGGGGGTAAAATTACAGCCTTCCATTGGTTTACAAGATAAAATTGTCCACCATATGAAGCTGGGGTATGCATGAGCTAGACAGGCTAATAGACACAAGGAGTTATGAATCGACATCACAGCATTTGTGATATTCCCACAAGCACTCAGTCCCTAGCTTCAGCAGCAAGCATAAAGTTAAAATTCTGATGGTACCAGTAATGGTCTAACTATGTGTGTCTCGCCCCTGCAACAAGTAACTTAGATCCCCTGGGCACTCCTGCAGCAGCATTCTCTTCAGATCGTAATGATCAATGTGTGCCTCCACACCTTTACTTGTTCCCAAAGGGCCTTACACATCTACCTTCCCCCCAAGTGGTGCAGAAGCAACCAATCCATCTGCCTGTTATAACACGGGCAACACCCGTAACCTGGGTAACATAGATTACTATACGAGACTGCAATGTCCTAGGAAACTAACCGAAAAGGCTAACCCGGTAAAAACATGCCTGTAAAAGTCAGATGTGTTGGCCAAAAGGTGCAAATATTGCATCCATGCTATAAATGTACACAACACAATTACATCTTCAGATAAACACAGAAAAATTCAACACGCCCGTAAGATGTGGAGAAAATATTTAAAGGAGGCTTACTACCCTGGACCTCTGAAGCTATGCTTTCTATTCTGCACAAAGCACACCTGTCTCCACCTTTCTCAACATACTCTGTGAATCAGCAGCAGCTGTACTATATATAGTACAATATACTAGGTACTGCATTCGACAAACCAGAACAAATACCCCCTCATTTGTGGACGGGTATGTAGTGACCTTACATCACACATATTTCTTTCAACTAACCTTGATGTCAACAATATCGCCACGCTTGTAGATGGCCATGTAACGGGACAGCTTGGTCACACCTTTCGTCCTGAACCTGCGGGCGAACATGTACCGCGTACCGCGGCGATAACCTTTGGGGTTCGTCATTTTCTTTCACTGTTGAGAAAAGAGATGGATGGGCAAAATAAAATAAAATAAAATTGTGAACAAGATTGCAAATACAAAAAAATAATACGGTCAAGTGTCCTATATGACTCTGGATCTTTAACTGGCTGCATTTACCACTTTTGCCATGTAAACATGGGGGGGGGGGTTAGAGTCTGAGAATTTAAGGCGCATAGCTAGTGCTGTCGCCACAGATTGTATAGGTGAGGATTTTATTTTAGCCTGACAGAATTCACAACCTTACAGAGGATGTGAACATGGGTCTTCCACATGAGAACCTAGCACTCCTTTTTGAATCCTTTATTTCTAGTGGTCATATATGTGCCGAAGATTCAGCTGACTAGAAAAGATATGTGATTCCTTCCCCAGACACTTCAGCTAAGTGATTTTTTATTCCTCTTGTTCATGTTTGTGCTATTGTAAAGTCATGCAATGTGCTGAAGATGGCTCTCCGGCTGCAATGTTCAACTATCTGTGTTTGTGATAACATGAAGCTGACTGGTAGTGTTTTTGTGTGTGATATCTCTTTTGAATACCTGAGTACAACTTAAAAATATCAAGCCTATTACAAACTTCTGAGAACTGAATCCAACGTTAAATCGTTACACTCATCAAAAATAAGGCCAGTAGATAATGGAGAGAGAAGCAACAATGAAATTCATGTTTCACCACTAATTACCGGCATCAACAGGGCTAACCATGAAGACCGAGCTGGCTACACAAAAAGCAGCTGCCGGGAGACTCTTCCAGGCCATAAACGGAGGGTTTCTTAGCAAAAGAGACATTCGCAAGAGGATGAAAATGGCTGTTTACCGCTCTACCTATGTACCAGTTCTGACCTATGGCTTTGAGTCATGGGCGATGACAACAGCTCACAGAAAACAGCTCCAGGCCTCAAAACCGTTATATCTGAGAAAGGTGGTCCAAGTGACAAAAAGGGACAAAGTCTGCAATCAGACAATACATCAAATCAAAATCTTGGGCTCTCCTGTCAACTACGGCTGGTAGACAACAGTAGACGGCCGGTTATTCGGAGTTCTGTCCCCTGGCTGCAGTGCTATTACGGACTGGACAGGAGGAAACGAAACAAATGACATACTTACTGTGTGTTGGCGATAGACAGCGTGCACTGCCCTGCTATAATCATACGGTTAGGGTTTGGTTTAGGGTTAGTGTTAGGGTTACGGATAGTGTTGCTGCATCTCGTCGTCGCACAAAAAGTAGCAACCCAAACCCTAACCCTACACCTAACCCAAACCGTATGATGACAGTAGGGTACTGCACCTGTCTATCACCAACACACAGTACTTCTGTCACTTGTATCGTTCCCTCTAATCCATTCCGTAATGTGTCGCAAGAAGTGGTAATTGAACGTGGTCGCTAATTTGAGTCGCAGCGCAGGGTCTGCTAGGCTAGGCATGTCGACCTCACTTTGTGCCTTCTCCAGTCCGTAATTGCACTGCAGCCAAGGGACAGAACGACTAACCGGCCGTCTACTGTTGTCTACCGGCCGTAGTTGACAGGAGATCCAAATCTTGATATCCAGTCTTTACAAACCCGAGTGGATCAGTCATAGTTACGATGGTTTGGACATGTATGCAAAGTGGGCGAAAATCGGCCACCATGGCAGACTATGAACCAGGGAACCAGACCTCCAGGGCGACCCAGTGTGCGCTGGGAAGACAACATCCAACAGTCCCTAACTAACATAGGGCTGAAATTTAACAAAGCCAAAAGAAAACTGCTGAGACATCTTGTAAACCTCTACACCCCATTGTAGAAGAGAGGTGACTTAGTAAGTAGGCCATTAGCTCTCTTTCGAACAGCATCATATTATGGCCACCATTGTATGGTGCCGTTCGAAGTAGAGCCTTTTTTGCGGGGAATTGGTTACAGCCACGTGTATACATATTTATAACATATATATAGATTGTTAATGCATCTAAAACTTAAAAGGCAAAAATAAATACTTTTGTAGCCCTCCCATTGATTTACTATATAGACTAATAAAGGAAATATAATAAACGAAGCGTATGGTATGTAGCATAACAATAAATCCATCTTCAAACACACTGTGACCACATGAGAAATGAGCACGACCCATATCGATAATAGGCAACTGATCAAATCGTCCACCCTAAATCAAATTTTATCCACTGAAATTCGTATTAATAAATTCTTTAACACACAAATGATTTTTTATGCAATAACAATTGTTTAAATGACTACATCAAGGTAACTGGCATAAATTTAGCTAATCTAAAATAAAATATGAACTCGCCTGTTTTCTAACAGAGACGACAATCAAGAAAACACCAGATCGGAAAGGACCGGTGTACGCGAAAAATTGCCGTCCAGTCCAGAATTTCCCTAGTAGGAGTAGCAGAAAAAGTAGTAATAATTCAAAACAACAATATCTTGTTGAATCCATTCGGATTATATGTGAGAAATCGCGGACATCTTAAGTGATATGGAATACCATTAAAAAACCTGTTCTTGTGACATACTTTAATCCTTGTAAAGTATAATCAGTTTAAGAATAATATCCTGCAGTGGATTCCATATCACAGTGGCAGGAAAGCAATGAAATAGACCGGCCAGAATCAGAAGTGACATAATGTAATCACATTGTGACCTACTGGCACACTATAATACATTAAAAAAAACTAGTATCCAAAACAAAACAAAAGCCTAGATTTTCTTCCTAACACTCGCTTCATATATTCTCCAGAGAGGGACACTGTACTGTATCATATTCAGACTAAAAACAGGGCACAACAGACTTCGTCAGCATATGCTCAAGTTTTTTCGGTTTAGGAAACACGTAGATGTGTGATGAAATTATCGCATGAAAACGTTGAGCATCTACTAGAACCAGTGCTATTTCCCCGTAGAAAAAAAAGCCACTATGAAGTGTCTAATAAAAAAGGTGCCGGTAAGTAAAGGTCGCTTTTCCACGCCTTTACGCGTATAAGGCATATAGGGCTAGACCTATATTTTTTATAGATCAACCGGCACAAGATGGGTGATGTGGTCAGCATCATGCTGGCCGACTTTACCTCCCGGGACTGCACCCGGTACCTACTCAAGGCTGGGTCGACCAGGGAGTCAAGGTCATTTCTGAAGAAAAAAAGTAGCCGGTACTCACTACAACGTGGCTAAAATTGATGCGTACTGTGTACCACCATAAAAAAGCCCTGGCTCCAACACTGTAAACTGGATGCTGCAAACAGAAAAGCAATCTGGCCTGTTCAAACCTCAGTCTCCCCGCGCTGGAGAACAAATAATAGAGCCACAACCACCCCAACAAGCATGTCGTAAGAGTTGACTAACTGGAAGCTTCCTTCAAAGTTGGTGTGCATTTGCACGAGAGGCAAGGAATGAACAGTCTGCATACAAATAAGCAACATTCAGGTTCTTGAACAATACTAAAGTCCAGAGGTAGACGAACAACGAGAACCTTAAGCCGGAGTTTACAGCTGGTGAACGCGAAGAAGAAAATATACGCAGACTGTTGATTTGTCTGGTCTCTCTGGCAGATACACTTTGACCTCTACACTAGGTTGTCCAATCTTTCCTATGAGGAAAACGCTGTAGTTGGGTGGATCTTGACCAGTATGATGTTATGTTATTGCAATCGACTTCCCTGCATATTGAGAATTTCCTTGAGTACCCAATCCTCCGATGCAGCAGCCACTCCAGGGTATCTGTTCTGATTGCTCCCATGAGGAGCTCGTTATAATGCCTCTTATCTCGGCCTAGAAAGCAGCATACACGTGCATAACAATGCTTTACACCCATGTCACGCAATCCTATTAGTGTCAGAGCTTCTTCATTATCCACTAGCCCAGTTCGTACAGCGTTGATGGTATCTCCTCTGTTTATGCTTCTTGCTACCCGCGTTGGTTCATTGCTTGCCAACTGACCAATATGAGCCATGATATTGGTACATCACTGCTTTCCATAACTAGCATGCACTTAAATTGAAACCTACAGAGCGAAAGGAATAAAAGCATACAAACACGCAAGAAAGTAATCAGAGAATGGAGTGAAACAGTGCACTAGAACATAACAAATCTACCTGTAAAATGCGATGCCTCCTTTAAGATCACTAACATCACAACGCTGACCAGACGACAACGTGGCTGCTATCGAAATACGTCAGTTAAGTGATTTTGTGTAATCGTGTCTGTACGTGTGGTTTTGTTGATTTATGTACTATGCCGATGAAGGCCATGTAGCCGCAGCGAGCACTTTTCCGTTGTCATTGTTATATTGTAAAGCTCGCTAGTTTGCTTTTCGTGTTTTATATCTTTTCACAACACAACATGGTTACGAATATTAGCATTATAAAGTTTGAATAAGATCGTGTGTGAATTGTTTAGACAGACAAAGAATGGAATGGTTCAGCCATCTAGCAAGAATAAAGCCAGACTAATCTACTTGTAAGATTTCTGTTTGTAACATAACATCTTGGAGGAAAGCGAGGGAAAGACTAATAACAAGATGGATAAATTGTGTAGCTGAAACCTGCAAATGAATGAACAAATCCATTACCCAAGTCAGTCGACATTCTGGCAAATTCGTTCTCCGTCCTCCGATTCAGGAGCCGTCTCGGTGTCTTGATGTTCAAGGTGAGTACATCCGTAATGCTGAAATAGATACCATGGTCATCTACACAGACGGCTCTAAAACCAGCACGGGAGAAGTCGGGGCAGGAGTATACATACCACAGCCTGGAAATCAACACACGAATACAAACTCACTGACGATATGGCAGTCTGCTCAGCAGAGTTGTTAGGGATTCTAAAAGCACTGGAGCTAGCCTGCGAACGGCTACCCATAAAACTCCTCGTCCTTACCGACCCATTGTCAGCTGTACAAGCACTGAAAGACTTATCGAAAGTGAGCCTACAAGACATCAAAGAAGAAATTCTGACCACTTCCACCAGACTCAGAAGCCTGGGATGCCAAATTACCAC